TAACCATAGTTATCCGAGGTAGACGGCTCTATTCCCAAGCCAGATTTCCTATTCAAATCTCCGAACCTTCTGGTAGATTGAACACCAGACCTGAAACCCTGATTGTCAATGCAAATCTGGGAACCAAGTCTGTGTTTGGGATCCTTGCCCAACACCTCACATACAACACAGTGAAACGGCTTTGAACACTTACTGGCAAGATGACCGGAGGTTCCACACTTAAAACAAGAGCCTGCCCTGTCAACCTTGGAGGTGCATGCAGTTCTGACATGCCCAAATTTCCAGCAGCGGAAGCACTGTACGGGTCTCTTGTGAAGGAGATCCACCTTGACTCTTGTCCATCCAAGAGTCAGATAACCCTCCTCAGCTATTCTAATCGCCGCGTTTATCGGACAGTTAACCCATACCGAGCCAAGACCATCTCGCATCCAATTAATAGCACTGATCTTGAAGTAATCCTTATGGCAATCAGAGAACTTAGCCAATTCTTCTTGTACTTCCTCGCGTGTGGTTGCATGATCTATTCCGCGAAGACGCAGCTCTCCCATCTCAATCGGATTGGAAACTTTTGCATCATCCTTCAGAACATCTTCAATTTTGGTACGGAGCAAACCAGCCAGCTCATTACCACGAGGGCCCGGAACCTCAATAACAACGCTACCATTAACCGCTGTACGAATTTTAGTACTCTTAATACCGAGTTGGTCTAGCAATAGAGCCTGTCTGGCCCTGCGTAACAATTGTCCATTAGAAATTTCTTCATTATTACTCTTAATAGTGACAACCGCAGGTCTCATCAATCTCTTTTTCTTATATCTGCTATTTTTATTATTCGATTTAGTAGTTTTAATCGATGCACCTACATCAGACTCGGAAGTTACCCGCGATTGCTGTATAATTTTCCTACGCTGAATATTATAATCTTTATAAGATCTCACAGGCCTACCATTTTTACCTATTGTCTGCCATTTTTCATTCAGATTATCAGAATACTCGTTTCTAAATGAATGTTCTCTAGGCGACTCACGAGAAAGAGGAGGAACTAATTGAATGTCACTAATGACCTTGATGCTTTTTTTATTATCCAATTTAGGCATGTAGTTTGTGAATTGTTTATTAATAATTCTTTTTTCTTTTTCAGAATCCCTTTCCATCAATCCAGGCGCTTCGTTACCAGGTATCTTCCAAGATGTTGGTTCTCTTCTTCCGAGCCAGCTGTCATCATCATGTGTATCCTTCGAGGGACCCGGTAAGGACGGGTAAGTATCATATTTAAGCCTTTTTTCAGGAGAGCCATGTTTGGATCCATAAATTTTATTTTTGTTCCTCTCTTCAGAAAGATCAGGAGAATTCCTCTCCTTCTTGGAAGAATTTTTTTGGGTATCTTTCAAACCCTTTACTTCCCTTTTAAGATCGTTTACCTTCCTGTAGAGATCCTCGATTTCTTTTTTATTCCTATTTTCCCTACGCTCCATTTCTCTAAGGCGATCGTTTAGGTCTATATTCTCCTTTTTTAATTTGATCGGATCACCAGTCGCATCTATTTTCTCCATCATAGCTCTTACAATACCAGAAACCACCTTATTGTAATTTTTCATTCTGGCTTTAACAAATCCAGCTATGTTTGACGAAACCTGCCATTGTTTGTCCAATTCGTGTAAATAATCTAGACTACGAGCACCCAATTCGTTGCCAGAATATTCAAGCCAATCTTCTTTATCGTATTTAAGCTCGTTTTCTAGCTGTACCTCCGTGACTGTTATTATGTTCCTTTTAATTGCCTTAGCTGAAAGCCTTTTCTTTGATTTGATTTTGATAGGTTCGTCTTCCAATGTTTCGTCAGCGCTATATTTTCCACTAGCCAGCAAATCAACGATCCTACCAGCTGACCTAGTAGACACTCGACTAGCAATACTGTCATCGTTGCTATTAACGGGGGAGGTTTCGTCCAACGATTGTACGAAGCCAGTCTCATCCTCCGTTGCACGATCCTTTTTAACCTTTGCTTCGCGGATCTTTTTCAATTTTTCGAATTTACCAGGAGTAACCTTTGCTAGCTTAAGTCTATCACTGGTTCTTCGTATACACATGTCATCCTCTTCGGGAGAGGCACTACTTCTTGCCTTAGCCGGATCAGGGACTGGGTCTTCTTTATTCGCCTCTGTTCGAATATGTTCTATTTCCGAACGAACCCTACCACCAGCAAATCTACTCTTGGCAGGAAAGGCATCTTTTCCTTCCGGCGATCTAACCGCCTTCCTTTTTGAAACCGGAGTAGCAGCAATTCGTGAAACTTCCACAGTCCGATCCTCAGCCTCCACAGTTTCCTGGATAAAAATCGTTTCCCGGACAGTCTCAGGAACCAATCCACCTAAAGGATCCTCATCAATTGACGGATTACACGTCCCTTCAATATCTTCGGTGGTAGCCATTTCCACTCGGATGCCCACCGGAGACATCCGAGTTAGCCCCTCGTCAGATGACGACAAGGCGGTGCCGGGGACGACAACACCGCCAGGCCGATCGCTGGGGGCTCCGAATTCCCCCTGCGACGATAAGTCCATATCAAATTCCATTTTGTCTGCCATTGAGTTGTATAATGTCGGTTTGTTAAGAGGTGACCTTCCCCTGTGCTCATAATCCATAAGAATGCCTTTGTCTTCAACAGTCAATCCGTCCGGCTTATCTATAATAATTGTAGGCACAACTAGCGAACCAATTATACTGCTGAATTCATCATTCAAATTATTCAAGTGTATCCTTTTTTCCTCGATCAGGCGTCCACAGTTGTATATGGTTTCCTGCGTTCGATTAAGATCTTTTGCTGTATCAATGTTTAAAGCTTGTTCTTTTAGGGTGCTATCAATGGTCAATTGCAATCCTAAGACATTTGTTGAGGTATTCTCCAAGATGTTGTTTATATCACTCTCAGCCTGTATATACGAGCTAATGTCTGTAGGAAACGTGTTCAGAGAGGGATTGCCTCTAACGATGCTGAGTTCTATATTTTCCCTAACAAGATCTTCCTGTCTCTTTAGTTGTCCTAACAGATACGATTTGGCACGAAACATTTTATATCCCTGATAGTAGATCAAACGTAAACAAGCTTCAATTAGCCTCAATCTAAAGCTAATTTCTAACTTATGAGGTATCAGGGATTGCAATTGATAAATAGCTTCAATCGCTCTACTCAGCAATATAGAAGGAGCAAGCCCATCGCAGTAAGACATAATGTCTTCAACAGATGCCATTTTATATATCTCGACCTGACAAACTAAGAACTAAAGAACTAGATAAATCCTAGATCGCTTGATCGATATCAGATTTTTACTAGATTACTACTAGATTTTTACTAAATTCGTTACTGAATTAGATTACATGTGAAGATAAAGTAAGATGAAATGATAATATAATTAATTATGTCCAGCTGAAAGAGATCCAATCAATATTGCACTATACAGCATGACAGACTCACGCGCTAAGCGCAAAATAACACAAATATATAATATATAATAAGTAATAAGACAACTATACAGGCATTGCAGTGTACCCATACTCAAATTAAATCGAGAAGATCATGCCGCACAGTTACAATTAATGATTCCCATATATATGTATGTATGTGTGTATGTGACTTACCTTATTTTATAATTTAATAAGGTGGACAAATCAGTATTATATAATACTGTTAACAACAGTGAATGAATATGCTATTAATTATAAGTAAGTATAAAATTATCCTAGAGCATCTTTGTGATGCTATTAACAGTTAAGTAACACAATTAGCCTAGTAGTTATACATAATTATACATAATATGTATTACATTAAAATAGAAAGTTTGAGAAAATTTCCTTAATTCTAATAATGATTATATAAGCTGTTTACTATTCGATTACTTATTGTTAGTTTGTTCCCCAGTATTCAATCAACATATCAAATACAGAACAGAAGTAATATTTTGGTTAATTTATGCGAGTTCCTAACAATATTGCATACGCAACATAGAGGACCGACAAAAATTATAATTAACCAATAGATCAAAACGTTAATAATTATACAATCAAATAGCAAGCAGCGTGTCGCACATGCAACAAGCTTCCAATACCTCAAAAACTTGAGGAGGGGCTGTTGCAGTATTTAACTAATTCACGCCAATGTAATGACTAATGTTTGCACCCACCCTATTTAGGATTTGTTAAAGGGTGCAAATAATACAAAACTATATCATTGTGTATATAATAACTATCTCCAAGGAGAATGGCTTTTTTTTTATAGTACTTATAGTATAATAATTATGAAAGCAAAAAATAATCTATTATCAGACACAATTGTGCTATAAATAACACTTCCTAAATAAAGTAGGATCCAACATCAATAACTCATGTAATTTATTATCTACATGAGAATAACGTTAATATCGCAGTACAATCTAAATAAAGCATGTGTAACAAGCATAAAGATATTAATACTGACATCTATAGAATAATTAAGTAACATATTGTAGTTGTTACGATTGCAATAATTGATTTTCATCAATTAATATTAAATAACTTATCCACCTATTAATTCCATTAGATTTATCAGTTTCATAAATTATATAAATGCCCATACACAGCCTAACAAAATTATGCAAATGTATATATGTAAAACCGAAATTATTGATTAGAAGCTAAGTCTACATCCTACAGACTTATAATAAATATTAGAAATCAGTTAAGTTAACAATAGCAAAATTAACAATAATAATAGTAATAATTAACGCATAATTCTTGTTTATCAATTAAAAGGAAAGAAATATAATGAGAAAACCTTATAAAGCCTTATAATATGATTTCGCAGTTTTCCCCTAGATCTAGTAACTTCTAGTTCGCCTTAAGTATTACCCCAATGTACCGAGTTTCCCAACTATACTTATAATCTATGACAGAACTATGTTTCGCTAAGAGGTATTACTGTTCACCAATAGATGGCGCGTCGATGTCCTTTTGCATCGAACGGAAGGTGTTTCAAGAGAGAGAGTTTCCTCCTGAGAGTTTATAACCTAATATGTAAATATTACAACGCTCATACCTTTCAATGTTGTCATGTATGTATGTATCACGGTAAATTGTATATGTATAACATTATAGCCATACAATACTGCAAAGATTTTGAGCTGTTCTTAGACAGTGCTTTCAATATTAAAATAACCTTTTAATACGGTGACACATACAAGGATAACCTCAAATGTCCAAATACACATAATATTCTTTCAGATTTAATACAACATACAATATAATATCCTGACAAAGGTATGTTACCTAACGCTATAATTTTAATATTTAATAGACAGAGATTATTTATAAATTCAACTCAACAATTATCTTCTCTTTTTTACATGCTCTGTCCGTGGATCAAAAACAGAGTATAAATACATCAAATAATTATCGCAGCAAGAGAATTCGAATTCAAACTTCTGATAAAAACCGCCTAATAGAAGATTCTCAGGTAACTTATAAGAGTCACGCAGCCAGCATAGGTTAAGTATTATAATAATGTATTAATATGACAGATTCAACTATACATATTATTAGTCGCATCCTTTTAACAAACATGCAGCACACAATTATGCACACCTCACTTATCTGTGATATTATTATTGTTAGTAAAATAACTATGTTATCATTTGTTTCATATGTTACTTAGGATGAGTGGCGAGGCAGCACTCCAAAAATACACTCAAAGACCTATGACTTTGAGACGGTCGTAAAACATTATTGCATGGCATATCAGCAACAAGATTAAATTACGACAATCCTGAACACAGCCACCAAGATCACTACCATCAGTTCACCGTCATATATATGTAAGCGTCATACCAGAATTCTTCTTCGCATTCAACGCATTCAACGCATAACTTATAATTCATAAACTTATTCTTTCAAGTTTAACACAACATAATTTGACAAGAGAAAGCTTCCATTTAAGCAATTTATAAATTGTTTATGAACTCGACTTAATAATCTCATCCATTTCTAATATGTTCTATCCGGAAATCAAGAAAACAAAGAAATACGACAGATCAAATTAACCATATTATTAGTCGCATCTTTTCAGCAATAAATGTATCTCATTATTATGCACACCTCACTAATCTACGTTATTATGATTGTTAATAAGATATTTATATTATCATTTGTTTCATATGTCACTTAGTATATGTAGCGAAGCAGCGCACTAAGAATACTCTTGAGGACCTATGGCTTCATCAGGAGAGCAATACCGCATGATCCATGACAAACAGGATTACAAATGATCCTGGACACAGCCATCGAATAAACCTCCATTAACAGATTCACTGTCAAGTACGTAAGTATCAAGACAAATAATCCATCTTGCACACAACGAGTCACTATAGTTCATAGGCTTATTTTTAAATTTATACAGCGTAGAGAGTTCCTATTTAAATAACTATAGATTATTTATGTAAACTTAACAATCTATATCTATTTCATACATACTCTATCGAGAGTCTAAAGTCAGAGTGACACTTCTCATACACTATGCATCACTTATAATTCACAGGCTTATTCTTAAAATTGACACCATATAATACTCGACAAAAGAGAGCTTCTTATTAAATAGTTATAATTATTTATAAATATATATAAATTTATAAACTCAACTTAATAGCCTCTTTCTATTTCTTACATGCTCAATCCAAGAGACAAGAAACAAAATCAAGATGAGCCAAATAACTGTCTAAGTCAAGGAAGGAATTCATTTCTCATCAAAAACTACTTCAAAAAGATCCCTGGATAACTCATAGGAATCACACGACCAGTGTCAGTTAAGTAGTTATAATATAGTAATAATATAACAAATTATATTATCATTTGTTACTTATGTCACTCCGTATATTAACAAATCACACTTAAAATACACTTAGAGACCTATGGCTACAAGGCGATCGAGAAGTCACTACCGCATAACAAACAGCAGGACTACCTTGCAACAATCTTCAACGCAACCATCGTATAGACCACCGTCTTCAGTTCACTGTCATATATGTAAGTATTAGCACAAAGAATCTCTCCTCGTTTATAACGCAACACTAAAAGTTCATTTAATACAGTATAATATTTGTCAAAAAAGATGACTAAATATAAATTGTTTATGAAACTTAATAATCTATTTCTGTATACATGAAATCAACATGATGATCTATTTCTGTATACATGCTCCACCCAAGGGTCCAAATCAAAGTCAGTAAATGCACCAGACAACTGTCACGACAAAAGGATTTGAACATCTGATCAGGAACCACTTCATCAAGAGATTCACAGACAATTCATCAAAATTATATGTATAATAATAAGTAAGTATTTAAATAATATTGCAAATTCAACTATTATTTAACGTATCCTATTAATAGTGAGATGCAATATACTAATGTACGCACTTCGGTTATCTCTATTAATATTATTGTTAATAGGACAATCACATATCATTTGTGTCATATGTCACTTATCTTATACAGCGTAGCAGCACACCAAAACAAATGCATTCAGAGTCCCATGGCTTCAAGACAATCAAAACAGCATCATCGCATGGCATATTGGCAGCAAGACCTCACTTCAATCCTGGACGCATTTATCGAGAAGTCTGTCTGTCATCAGTTTGCCATCGTAAGTATGTGAGCATTAGTACACGATTCACTTATCATACACTGCGCATCACTTATTTCAGGGGCTCAGTTAATATTCCCACTTAGTTGATTATTCGCTCACGTTAGGGAAATCGCTCCGAATATAGACGAGCCGCAGCACGAGCATTTTCTCCGGCTGCTCCGTATATATAATATGTCCGTATACTATGCAGAAGTATAATCTGCCATTATTTAATAACTTTTTACACGCACCTTACGAGACTACAACTCGAAAGTTGGGCATATACTGTGGAGCAATAAATTACGAGGAAAAGATAATCGATTATAATTTAAAGAAAATTATTTCAAACGTTTGCCGCAGTATCATCAGATATCCTTCGCGCCGCGGCTTTATCCAAGCGAAAGGCGTAAAGAAAACCGCGGCGCGCAAGGATATCAGATGATACTGCGGCAAACGTTTGAAATAATTTTCTTTAAATTATCATCGATTCTCTTTTCCTCGTAATTATGTTGCTCCACAGTAGCTGCCCAACTTTCGAGTTGTACGTCTCGTATAGGTGCGTGTAAAAAGTTATTAAATAATGGCAGATTATACTTCAGCAGAGTATACGGACAATGATTATCGTATACGGAGCAGCCGGAGAAAATGCTCGTGCTGCGGCCGTCTTTACGCGGAGCGATTTCCGAACGTGAGCGTCATCCAATATTATAAAACAATTTTGAATTGTGTTCAACGCGCCAGAGAAACACTAGGAGTTATGATGCCAAATCGACGAAACGTGGGGGCACCAGTACGTTATCACGTACGAGAAGAAGAGAGAATCCTGCGAGCGTTCGAAGAAAACCCCAGGACCAGTGTGCGCCGTGTATCTCGGATGCTCGGTCTCTCGCGATACGTGGTGCATCATGTTCTACGTCAAAATGGATTGCATCCGTATCATCATCAGCGAGTACAGCAACTTTTACCGAGAGATGACGAACAGCGCGTCTATTTTTGTGAAGGTATTTTTATTATCTTTATTTCATATTTTTTCGCGTTATTTTTAATAAATATTAATAGTCGGTGAAACACACAGAATTTCTTGCGCAGTATCGACGAAATAATTTTTTCCCCGATCGAATTTTATGGACTGACGAAGCCACGTTCACACCGAACGGTGTGTTTAATTCACACAATTTTCTGCAATGGGCAGAAGAAAACCCGCATGCCGTTCGAGAACGCGCTTATCAATATCGCTGGGCGATAAATGTATGTCCAGGAATAAAAGCGAACCAAATAGTAAGTAGTAAATTTACTTGTTAGTAAGCAAAAAAATTTTCTTTCGCGAGTTTAACAAATCATTTTTTTTCAATATTTTATTTTTTTAGATCGGGCCATATTTTCTTCCACCCCGTTTAAATGGAGCGATCTATCTTAATTTCCTCCAAAATGAGTTACCTGCTCTTCTCGAAGATGTTCCTCTTCGCGATAGAGCGGAACTCATTTTTCAACAAGACGGGGCTCCTGCGCACTTTTCTCGACAAGTGCGCGATTTTTTAAACGCGCATTATCCAGAGAGATGGATAGGTCGAGGCGGCCCGATCATCTGGCCGGCGCGATCGCCAGATCTTAATGTGCTCGATTATTTCGTGTGGGGTCACATTAAAGATTTAGTCGAGCATAGGCGTGATGGTACAGAAGCTGAAGTACGGGAAGCAATTCTCGCAGCTTTTGCTACCATTACTCCAGAAATGGCGTATCGCGCAACGCGTAATATTGTTCGAAGGGCTGAACTCTGTTCGCAAGAACGAGGAAGGCACTTCGAACAATTATTAAATTAAAATATGAGAGTGGATTAGACCTACTGGGGATACCACTTTAAAAAAAATGCGCCGTGTTATCTACCGCAAGGTGGTGCGGAAAGGATAACAAATATTTTCTATGCCGAGAGAGAGAGAGAGAGAGAGAGAGACTAAAGAGAGAGAAACGTTATTATCATTTATGATAAAAATAAAAATTATTATAATATAAACATAGTAAAATTTATCGAGTATATTTTTTATTTTATTGTGATAGATATTAATATTTTTATTATAGTAAATATTAATCAGAAAAATTCTTATAAAATTCTTTCAATACCATTGTCCCACGATTACCATCATTTTTAGAGTAAATTTTAAGAAAAAATTTTCTCTGTATAGTATTCGAATACATCCTATCAAAATTTTACGTTTTTTAAAATAATCAATAAATGATAATAATGAGAGAGGGAGAGAGAGAGAAAGAGAGAGTGAGTGAGTGAGTGAGGAACGTTATCATTTATGATAATAACGTTCCTCACTCTCTCTTTCTCTCTCTCTCTCTCTCGTTATTATCATTTATTGATTATTTTAAAAACGTAAATTTTGATAAAACGTATCCGAATACTACACATAAAAAATTTTCTCTTAAAATTTACCCTGAAAATCATGGTAATCGTGGGACAGTAAGGTACTGGAAGAATTTTATAAGAATTTTTCTGATTAATATTTACCACAATAAAAATATTAATATCTACCACAATAAAATAAAAAATGTACTCGATTAATTTTACTATGTTCATATTAATAATTTTTAATGTAGTAAATATTAATCAGAGAAACTCTTATAAAATTTTTCCTACACCATATTATCCCACGATTACCATGATTTTCAGGATAAATTCTAATAAGAGAAAATTCTCTCCGTGTATGGTGTGATTTGCATCAGACTCTTATTTTGCTTTGTATGCATGTTAAATTTTAATGAGATACATCGTCGAAAATGATGTCAATGCGATTATTAATTTTTCAAAACTGTACTTTACAATAATTAATCAAGATGCCATTTTGAAAATAAAAAGATTCGTTTTTAGTAAAGAAAGTGAGATGAAAAGGGAAAGAGAGAAAATAGTTGTCGCGGAGCTTTAGCGTTACGCGCCGTTCGTAGCCATCGCGTTCGCTCCTCCCTCCGCTTTGCCGCGCGCCGTGTATCGTGTGACAGGGGGCCGTCTCATCTCGTCGCGCGCTTAGATTGGCCGATCTTTTTTATTTAATAACACAATAATTATTGCGAAAATCGCAAAACGGTAGAGGACTTTCCTATTCGGTTTAACTTACTCTACCTGCACACGACGGTTGAGGCGACCATTACCGGACACCCTGTATAATCAGACTGGCAAAAGTCCAATTAACAAAACTGTAATAAAGGGAGGATGGACGGCGTGCCACAGTGCTATGCCATCCAACCCCGCCCACCGTAATCTAGACGTGCAATGAAGGCACTAGCTCCCCGCCAGTGCCCTCTATCCAGATTAGGATGGGGTATCGCTCATTGATTATTAATTATTCAGAGGATGACGATGAAGGTGATGATAAATGAAGGTTTTCTACTCGTCTCTCCTCGGCCTCCTTAATACCCATGACTTCTGAGCAAAATTCCTGAAAGGACAGCCAGAACTGTTTAGAGTTGACTATTTTGGATATTATGATTCCTAACGTCAAGACAACGTCGTGATCCAGCTCTAAATCATTCAATAATTTGAATCTTTGATCAACAAATGCAGGGCATTCCGATAACGTATGTTCAGCCGTGTCGTCATTATGTGAACAATGACCACACGACTGGGAATCCTTCTTTCCAATTCTATACAAGAAATGACCAAATGATCCATGTCCAGTCATAATTTGAGACATGTAGAAATTCATGCGTCCAAATTTCCTGTCCAGCCAATCTCTTATGAACGGCTTAATTGCCGCAATTGTACGTAGACCCCAAGCGTCAGATCTGCTCAAGACCACCTCCCACTGTCTTATCATCAATGTATTTTCCTGTCGTTTGATGTCAGTTACGTCAGTATTAGAGTAGTTCTCAGTGCTCTTTAACTCTACCAAACGATCATATATTCGACGCCTCATTGCAGCCTCGAGTACCCAAGGAGGCATTCGGGCCAACAAAGTAGCCGCGTCGAAAGATACCGTTCTATAAGAGGCAATTATTCTTATAGCAACCGCTCTCTGAACGACTCTCAAAGGTCTAATAATTCTACTAGGAGCGACTGAAAACTCCTCCGCCCAAACCGGGGAGGCGTACAAAACGATCGACGACAAGACTCTCGCGTACAGTTGTCGTTTGTTTTCTCCGGGGCCTCTCAAATTTGGCATAAGCCTATTGAGGGCCCGAGAGACTCTAGTAACCTTGTCGGATACATATTTTACATGGTCATAGAATTTAAGCCTTCTGTCTAGAATCACTCCAAGATATTTTATGGATTCGGTCGACCTGATACAGGAACCCCCAACAACTACAGAGGGCATAATGGATGGTTTCCTTCCTTTGTAGAATAAAGCGACATCGGTTTTGGACTCGGATATAGTGAGACCCAAGTCTCTTACGAAACGAACTACTCGAGCAACCTGGATATTCGCTCTCGAGACAGCATCACCAATACTATCGGACGTGGCTAACACCAAGGTATCATCAGCATAGCAGAATATTTTAACGCCTGGCTCTAAAGGCAATCTAAGGACCGAGTCAAACGCAATGTTCCACAGGAGTGGTCCAAGGACCGACCCCTGCGGAACACCAGCGACAACCCTACGTTCTCGTATCACACCTTTTATATCTTTATAGGATATGTATCTGTCCGATAAATAACTGTCGATCATTCTACGTATATAGGCTGGAAATTCTTCTCTCAGCATAGCCTGTGAAATAACGGACCATGGTAATGAATTGAATGCATTAGCTATGTCCAGACCAACAGCAATAACGAATTCATTCTTCCTAAAGGATGACAAGATGCATTTCTTCACGGCTCTAAGAGCGTCGACAGTCGAACGTTGCCTACGGAATCCATATTGTTCATCCGACAATTGGTGCAGCGGATTCTCAATCATCCACTCGTTCATCCTTCCAGCGATGATCCTTTCGAAAGACTTACCGAGTTCGTCCAACAAACAAATCGGACGAAGCTTAATGTTCGAGGAAATGTCCGCATTACCCTTGGGAATTAACACCAGGGATGAACGCTTCCAGATTTTAGGGAAGACTCCAG